CTAAATAAATATAAATATATATTTATTTTTGATATAAAAATCAACAATTTGATTTAATTATCATTTTTTTAATTGAATAAATATTTATTACTGTATTATATATACTGTAAGAAATATACATTAAAGAGTTCGTCAATTTTTTTCGGTGTACATACAATTTGCTCATATTTTATATCAATATCAATTTTAATAAATTATTAATTTATTTGTCTCTCTCTTATTTAGTTATCTTTAAAAAAAAACACTTTGAATTACGAGCTCTAAATAATCATCCGGTATGCGGTCCGGTTTTTTGAATTTTAAATTACGAGGTTGCATTCCTCGCATGAGTTTACACCAGCCGTGTCAGCCGTTTCTCACATTAATCGATCCATCTAATCAATCATCTTCCGCTTAAAAATTCATATCCGAGGACGCGTTGCACTTTGCAATACGTCGATATATTAACTCGACAAATCTACGAACGGCGAAAGGAGGGCGAGCGTTCACGGTCGTGACGCAAACGGATCAGTCGGTGCTAATATCGGTAGTGGAACGTGACGATGCCGAGACGAAAAGAAAATGCGAAGGAAAATAAACGAAAAAATGGGGAGGAAGGAAAAGGAATATATACACACACACACACACACACACACACGCGCGCGCGCGCGCGCGCGCGCACACACACACACACACACACACATATATATATATATATATATATATAGGGGAAGAGAATAGCGGGCGATGGGCCGGCATCGCCATAGACAATTTACCATGGCCTATTCCCTAACATTAATCGATTCACTTTGTGTGCCACTTCGCGTTGCATTTGTCTACAAACAATAAAGCCGGTATTCTTCTTGCGTCTATGTAGACGAAATAAAGGACGACAAATCAATTAGTGATTCTACTTTAATTGCGACGACTTGTCAAAGAAGAGCGAGAAAAAATGCTCTCGTCCTTTTTTTCGCAAAGAAGCAAACATAAATATACAATATAAAGGAGATAATGGAAAAAAAAAACTGTCATAATAGTCCATCAATATGTTCTTAATAATCTAATTATGTTTTTTTCTTTAGATCTTTAGACGTCTTTCTTGAGATCTTTTATATCAGATTAAATGATAATATTCGTCGTTATATTACTTATAATTGTCTACTTATAATTTCTTTATACTACTTATAATTGCTTTTGATTTAATTTATTGACTATCATGATTCAAACGTATTAGCCGTCAGTTTATTAATAAATTATTCAAGAAGAAGTTGTTCTTTTTATTTATGCTCGTGATTTTAATCACTGAGTCTCCAGGCGATCACTTATCTATATTGCACACTCTTAGTTTACCTGACTTTATTATTCAGACCAAGTTCTTCTTCATCTCGCCGCTTCTCTGAACCGCTATATTCACGAGCGACAAACAAACGAACTTTTCTACAGAATAAATACTTATGGTATGCGGACGTATGAGACGCAGGAGCGGAAAGATAACAGAAAGAGAAAAAATCGGGGAATCGTAACGTCCGAAAAAAAATTAAGAATCGCAAAGTAAATCCGGCAAAGAGATTCCAAGATGAGGAACTCGAAGGATCGCGTTTCGGTCAACGACCGCTTTATAAACGAGTGTTTTGTAGCTCGAGTTATGCGGTGGATTATGCGGCACGCGATGACATTATTTTCGAAGTCGAGCAGTTTTACGCCTCTCTCTTTGAGGTCGATCCATTGCCTCGGAATATTGAGCGGGTGACATCGCCGATTATGGTCGTCCGCGGCGACATTAACCGGTATTCATAGCCGGTTCTTATTCAAGAACTTCTTAATAAATAATGTTTTAAGATGCTAATATTGCTCTGCGATTGGCTTATGTGTCTACAATGAGATTTTAAGGCGTAAGAAATTGACGACTAATTATAGCCGATCATTCTCCTCATGTTTGACTGTAATTGGTCAATTTCTCTATGGTTTAAGGCTCTTGAATAGTCACCACAGTCGTATTGAATCGTGACGTCAGAAGCGAGAAATAACACGTTAATTTTTATTACGTGCCATTTGTAAGACAATTTGGATAAAATGAAATAAGATTTCTTTAAAACAATAGTTTTAAAAAATAAAAATACACGAAAGCTATTCTTAACCTCCCTGATAATAAATAATGATAAAAGACACATAAAGTGCTTTTATTCAATGTGCATATGTAGTCTATTTTTATTTACACTTTTATCTTTTATCACTTTTTATTATTTATTGATTGTCAGGAGGGATAATTTTCGTCCATTTTAAAGGAATCTCATCATTTTTTATCTATTGTCTTTATTTAATAAGTGGTGTGTAATAAAAATTAACATGTCATTTCTTGCCTTTGATCATCATAATATGGCTACTGTGATTACTCAGGAGTCTTAAAGTTTAAATTTTACGCTCATTGTAGACGCCGTTTTGACATCTTAATGTATAATCCGACTTAATGTATAAATACCGACCTATAATCGGTTTGTATCACAACGCGAACAATTTCGCTTGGAAATGAAAGGAAAGAAAGAAAGAAGGGGAACATGGGTGAAGTTCGCGAGGTTCTTGATGATTCGCAATTAACGCGTTCACCCGTGACTGACACCGTGAGCGACGCTATCGGAAGCTCGAAACGGGGCATTTCGGACACGCTTCTACGGGAAGCTGTGGAATCTTCGTCCTGTCAACGTTCTTTCGTGAACCGCCGTCGCGGTTTTTCCCTTCATTCATGCTCGACCGAACGCTCTACCGCAAGATACGGTCGATTCCAGAGACCAAGAAATACCTGACCCTTTTCTCGTAAGGATAGCACTGACTTTACTAAAAACCGTGCAGGTTAACGATCACCTTACATTCTCTTGTGAGTATAATACTTTCTGAATTTGTCAAAATATATGAAGGTATTGCGCAAGGAAGATTTATTTATTTACAACTGTTATGAAATTATCTCGAAATCTTAATTTTAATAATATAATAATAAACATTAAGAAGATTGTAAGGCAAGTGCAATACGTTAAGAATTACTTGAAAAAATTACAGATTATTCTAAATTGCATATAAAAGTAATACAAAAAAAATTAGAGATAGTTGACCGTGTGGATCAAAAGTTATTTCAATAAAAAGTAATATTTTTTTAAATTTATACTCTAGAATAGAAATATATGAAAATGTAATTATGTAGTTATAAAATAATGATCAATTTTTTATATAAATAAATACTTTATAAATTCAAAAATATTTATATTAAATAATACACATTTATTAACAAAGTTGAGATGCAGACATTAATTGTTCAGTAAATAAACAAAATATTTATTTAATATTTATAAAATATTTAT